AGTTTATGTTGCCTTTCCTTCTGCAGCAATGGAGACTGAACTGGTGAAAAAAGGGTAATCAGGTTGAAAATCCTTACTTTGTTTTTGATGATCTATTCTCTGTTTCCTTGGAAACAGAGCTGGCAGCCACAGAGTTGCTGGCATTATGTTTTCTTTTTAAGCTTTGAAGCATCAAAGAGGAAGGTGAGGTTTTATGACTGTAATTCATAGAATCTGAGTTATTGTCAAGTAAATTAAAAACAGGGCTTCCCTGGTGGCGCAGTGGTTGAGAGTTCTGCCTGCCAATGCAGGGGACACGGGTTCGTGCCCCGATCGGGGAAGATCCCACATGCCGCGGAGCGGCTGGTCCCGTGAGCCATGGCCGCTGAGCCTGCGCGTCCGGAAAAAAAAACACACAAAAAACCCACATTCATCTTTTTGGGGCTTCCCTGGTGGCGCAGTGGTTGAGAGTACGCCTGTCAATGCAGGGTACACGGGTTCGTGCCCCGGTCCGGGAAGATCCCACATGCCGCGGAGTGGCTGGGCCCGTGAGCCATGGCTGCTGAGCCTGCGCGTCTGGAGCCTGTGCTCCGCAACGTGAGAGGCCACGACAGTGAGAGGCCTGTGTACCGAAAAAACAAACAAACAAAAAATACAAATATTATTGAATGCCTATTACATATAAGGTACTAGGAGGTAAAAACTAACACGTTTGAGAAAAAGTTTTAAACCAATTGAGGGGAATAAATCTTAGTTTCTAAGAGCCAATCTATTATATACATATTTTTTAAGAAAAAGAGGAAATAAAGCCTATTTAAAAACCTATAGTGTGAGTGTAGTACATTGAGATCAGTATAATTTATTGAAATTAATTTTAGAAAGAAAATAGATTCCCACACCAAACAGCATGATTCTTTCTTCCTGTATTCAAAACTAGATAATACGGGGGTGGTTACCATGTGTTGAGAGGACAGTTTTTGCCTCCTGTAAATAAAACAGACAAAAGCTAAGGGGAGCTTAAGCAAATCTAAAATGTTTCCTAAAAAACTGATATATTAATGAATTTATTAAATATTTCAGTCGACGGGTAATTGTCAAATAATTATAATATGGTCATTTCCTTTATGAAAGTTGCATTAATTTAAGTTTAAAAAGCCATACCTTTAAAAGCCCTGACTGAGATGAGAAGGCAAGAGTTACAGGCAATAGTTGCAGGGAGGATTTTTCTTTTTATTTTAATAAGAGCTAATGCAAATCAAAACCACAAAGAGATATCACATCTGTCAGAATGGCTATTATCAAAAAGACAACAAACAAGTATTGGTGAGGTTGTGGTACTGTTGGTAGGAATGTAAATTGGTGCAACCACTATGGAAAACAGTATAGAGGTTCCTCAAAAAATAAAAATAGAACCACCCTATGATCTGGCAATTCCACTCCTGGGTATTTATCCAAAGAAAACAAAAACACGAATTCAAAAAGTTATTTGTACCCCTATGATCATTGCACCATTATTTACAGTAGCCAAGATATGGAAGCAACCCAAGTTCCCATCAATAGATGAATGGATAAAGAAGTTGTGGTACACACACACACACACACACATATGTGTGTGTGTATGTGTGTATATATATATGTATATATACACACACATGTGTATGTGTGTGTGTGTGTGTATATATATATATATATGTAATGGAATATTACTCAACCATAAAAAAGAATGAAATCTTGCCATTTGCAACAACATGGATGGACCCAGAGGTATTAGGCTAAGTGAAATAAGTCAGACAGAGAAAGACAAATACTGTATGATTTCATTCATATGGAATCTAAAAAAGCAAAACAAATGAACAAACATAACAAAACACAGAACCACAAATACAGAGAACAAACAAGTGGTTGCCAGAGGGGAGGTGGGGTGCAAGGATAAGAGAAATAGGTGAGGGAGATTAAGAGGTACAAACTTCCAGTTACAAAATAAATAAGCCACAGGTATGAAATGTACAGTGTAGGGAATATAGTCAATAATAACATAATGTCTTTGTATGGTAGAGATGGTAACTAGACTTATCGTGGTGATCATTTTGAAATGTATAGAAATATCAAATCACTATGTTGTACATCAGGAACTAACATAGTGTTGTAGATCAATTATACTTCAAAAACAAACGCACAGAAGAAGAGACCAGATTTGTGGTTACCAGAGGCTGGGGTACAGGAAAGGGGAATTGGACAAAAGTAGTCCAAAGGTATAAACTTCCAGTTATAAATAAGTACTAGCGATATAACATACAACATGATAAATATAATGAACACTGCTGTATGTTACCTATGAAAGTTGTTAAGAGAGTAAATCCTAAAAGTTCTCATCACAAGGAAAAACACTTTTTTCTATTTAATTTTGTATCTATATGAGATGACGGATGTTCACTAAACTTATTGTGGAAATCATTTCATGATATATGTAATTATGGGGTACACCTTAAACTTAAAAGTGCTGTGTCAATTATATCTCAATAAAACTGGAAGGAAAAATAAAATTAATAAGATCTAAGCATACTTATATGTTTCAGGGGAGAGAGAAAAGAATTAGAGAGATTGACAGAGACTTTAACCTGATAGAACTAATTTCCTGAAGAGAAAGGAAGGAATGGGAACTAAAACACAACTAGAGGGATTTGCTTTTGATGTCCTCTAACGACATCATAATAATATTAATGCTTACTATGTGCCAAGCATTGTTCCAAGCACTTCAGATGTATTAACTGAATTAGGACTGGATGGAGATAATGAACCTGGAAATGAAGAGTTGAAAGAATGTGCACCTGAAAATCAAAATTATCACTGTGAATATGAATATGAAGATAAAATTATGTACTGATAATCTGCTAAAAGAGAAAGAAAAGATGGTGTAGGCAGCCTAAAAAGAGCTGGTTTGAGGACTAGGAGAGGGAGTTGACCAGAAACATATAAAAGTATTTCTGAACAGTAATTCAAGTGACTGTGTCATTTTCTCCAGCAGTGCTCAGATACACTGGTGTCAGAGCTCAGAGCCAGACTATATTGACCCAGGGTTGGACGTTTATAAGCAGAGTAGGATTGAAAGACAAGAGTTCAGGAAGTCGACAGCACTGGCAGAGGGTGGTTAAGTGATGCTCTGGGTTAGGTTAGACATGAAATGAAGTGAAGCCAGGAGGGGGATAATAATAGGAAAAAAGAAAGTAAAAAGGTAGTGATAGAACAATTACAAACATAGAGTCCATTGAGTCTCTCTCCTACTCCTTTCTGAGTGTACCATCAAGGCAGCAGGTTACCACAACTCATGAAAGCCACCAGAACAGTAAGCTCTGTCATCTTCAGGTTCAGGGGTTTCTCCACGGAGCAGAGTCCTCGGGAAGGATAAAATCCTTGCTTCTCAAAGTGCACTTGACTGACCAGCATCACTAACATCACTCAGGAGATGGTCAGAAATGCAGAATCTTGGGTCCCACTCCCAAACTGAATCAGAATCTGCTTTTTAAAACAGAATCTCCAAGTGACTCATATGTACATTAAGTTTAAGAAACACTGGGATAAACAGATGAGAGTGTAGCTTCACCCTTGGTTTATTTGTGCTGAGCGTGATACGCTAGGGGAAACAAGGCGCAAACATCCTGCCTGTGATGTTCTCGAGATCCCAGACTATTGAGTATTCCCTTTTTAATGTATAATTTAAATCCTTTCTCAAATGACTCCTGATGCCCTGCACAAACTCCTCCCTAATTCCACCCTGGACCCCAGGTGCTCTCATATCTGAACGTCACAGTATCCTATGAGATAAACTATAAGCTTCCTTTTATTTTTAAAATTATTTGATTTTATGTATCAGCCAAATTTCCTGTGCACAGAAAAATTACTAGAAAATCAACCCAAGGGAAATGAAATTCAGTCAGTGCCAAAAATAATCCTCAGAAGAATTCGGCAGTTAGCTACACACACGCACACACCCCATCTGCTGTTGGGTCAGCTTTAGAGGGTGCTACCGTGTCTTTCTAACTCCTAACAGACACTGTTTTGAAGCTGCTATATGTGATTGTGAATGGTTTTTGAGCTGCTTTTTACCCCCTTTTTGTGCAACACCAAACCGAAATTCATCTAAATGAATTAAGTCACTTGAGGGAGTCTGAGTGGAAGCTTGAGCGAATTTGCCTCCACATGTTAATGTGGAACCAATTTCCAAAGAGGTGGAGGAGATTCTGAGGAGTAAGGCAAGTCAGCGATAAACGGATCACGCAGTACCTATCGGGAGCATCAGTGTTAATGAAAAATTTGGTAACGTTAAAGACTAACGATGCTTTTTGTGATTCAGGCTTTCATCTTATACCAAGACCAGAATCTCGTCGACCTGCTGGTGGTTTTTAAAGAGTCCGTGCTTTTAAGCGCTGTTACCTACTGGGCCGGCGTCGGCGGTCAAAGAGGGGAAGGAAAATGCCATTTGTTCCCTGTTTAAGCTAACTGGTCCAGAGAGCTGTGAATGTGCTCCACCACCGCTGGGAGAACCGAAATCGCGGAGGCCTGAGGCGTTTCAAAATGGAACGGTTAGGGTTTTTAAGCTGCGCAGGAGAGGTGTTCGCGACGTGACAGCTGATGGTCTCCGGGCTCTGATGTCCCCCCTCCCGGTTGGCTCACCATCATTAATCGCCTCCTCGTCTCCAGGTTAGCGCCCCCGACGCCCACCCCCAGCCCTTCCCACTCCTCGCTTGCAGGACCCCGCGCTCCGCCCATCCTTCACTAGTACCCTCCGCCCCCCCCCCTTCTTCTTCTTTCCCTCCAGCCAGCCTCTCATTGCCCTTCCCTCCCCTTTCTCCTTTTCCTTTTCCTCGCGCCCTTCCCTCTCTCCCCTCACCCTCCAACCCAGCGCACTTCGGTTTCTCCCTTCTCGGCCCTCTCATTCGCGCTCCCCCAGCAAACGCCGCCTCCCTCTCTGCAGGCGGGAGGCGAGCAGAGAGGCTACGCGCAGGCGCACTGCGCGGCGAGCCCGCGGGCTGGCCGGGCGTCCGCGCACGCGTGCGTGCTTGGATTTAGCTCCCAGGCTGGCAGCCGGGCGTTCTTCGGCTCCCTGAGTCAGGGCTAGGGATCCCGCGGCGGCGGCGGCACCATGTTCCTCCACTCCGTCAATCTCTGGAACCTGGCGTTTTATGCCCTCATGGTCTTCATGGCGACCCTGGGGCTGTGGGACGTCTTCTTCGGATTTGAGGAAAACAAATGTAGTATGAGCTACATGTTTGAGTATCCGGAGTATCAGGTGAGCTTTCACCCTCCCTTCGCTGGGCGCTCCGAGGCTCGGGCCCCTCCAGCCTGGCCCTTCTGTGTGTTTCCCCTGCGTCGGCTCCCCGCGCCTCTCCTGCCCCCTTAGCCCAATCTTGTCCCCGCTTGCTTCGACCCGGAAGACTCCGCAGCCCCCCGCGGCCCCTTTCTCCTGCCCTTTCTCCTGCCCTGTCCTCTCTCACGGTGACCCCACCGGGCATGCTTCCCGCCCCCCTCGAGGTTGCTGCCCGGTTCCTTCGCGGTCCCAAATCCCAAGCACAGGCTCATCAGAAGGGCCGGGCCCAACGCCCCTCATCCCCAGAGATTCAGCTCCAGTCCCTCTCCCCAAACCCAGACCCCATCCTCCCCGCCTCCCTGCCTTAACAGGTGCCCCGGGCACTCCTTTGCTTCCCACGCGCCGAAATTCTTCCCCTCCCGCCCAGGTGTTTGCGCGTCAGCTCTCGCTTTTCTAGAAAGGAACCGAGCTTCTGCAGAGCGTGTACTGGCTACACAGTTCCCAGGGTTGCCTTAGAGACTTAAGGGGTTTACGTCTGAAAGGCTAACCTGATGAGTAAATAAATGGGGAACTAGCGCAGTTCTCTCCTGTGAAGGTTTTGCGGAGCCCTCTTGTTTTGTAGGTCGTGGGTCGGTGCGTGTGCATGCATCCTGGTTGATGCGTGTCGCCCCTTACCAGTTGCATACAAAATCTATTTCATGGTGTTATTTTTGTTTTCTCAACTGTGTTTGCAATTGAAGAGAGACCCGGCCCTTCTTTCTCTTCCTGTCTCCGCCCCCACCTCTTTCGTTCCATTTTGGATATTTTCAGTCACAGTTGCTTTATCAGTTCAGCATAGTAGACGCTAGAATTTCATTCATGACCAGCTGTAAAAAGAGATGGTGACAAATTGCACAACCGTCCAAAGAAATTTCTTCCGAATCATTCTTTTCTTTATAAATGCATCTCCTAATTATGGAATATGTATTGTAATGATAACTCCCTACCTTAGAAGTTTGTGTACTATAATACATATTGATACAATGCATTTAAAACCATAGCAGATTTATTCTTTGAGGTGAAGGATGCATATCCTGATTGTTTCCGTGTACAGGTCATTATGAAGGAGCATATTATTTGATTATCCCGCTGTTATTTAGATCTTAAAACTACTGAAGGTTTAAATTGCTGAACAGCATCCTTTCCCATGGGCAAAATTCGAATTTAGATTTCATTTGTTTTGAGATCTTTACCTTGGTTTTGCATCAGTGCTTATGAGGAAGTGGAAGCATTTGATATCAGATGCTATTGAAGGAGCACATTTTAACATGTTACAGTTGTCTCTTAATTTCTAAATGAATATGCTGGTTTATGTTTATCAGAGGCCACATATAGTTAAATATATGGGCTTTTAGTTTAGATTTTTAAAAAGACTGAAAATAGAGCCCTTATAATCGCCTTTCATTTTTCTATGGTTTAATAATTAGGAAACTCCCAATAGATTGAAGTAGGTCATTTTAGTTTTGTACTGCATTGAAGAGTTTGGTTAAAATAAAATCATTTTGGAACAATACAGTACTAATTCCCGTTTATTTTTGGATTACCCACAATTATTGAAACTATTTTAATATTTGCAGTAGTAGAAATCACTTAGTGTTGGGAACAAAGCATATGGACCTCACAGATACATTTCGTGCCTCATAAAATTGACTGGAAAGGCACAGAAAATTAGTGTAGCTAATGCAAAAGAGCTATTTGGGTTTTTTGGTGTTGTTAGGTAGTCTTATTTAGTTAATTTTGCTGTTTTGAGGTTTTACACTTCTGTGAATAATATGTTAGCACAGTAATATTACAGTGGCAGGAGTTTTTGATACACATTTTCAGTAAATTTTTATTTTTATGATGTAAAAAGTGTTTATTCACTACAGTATTTGTCTTTGACTCTTAGTCTTTTTATTGTGCACACTAGGTTGAGTTATTTGACAAATACAGTTAAAAACTGCCTACAGAAATGATTCATTTTGAATATAATGTGAGCTTTCTGGGTAATTGGGGTCAGCCAATTAAGAACCAATGGTTTGTTAAAAGTGTTCTAAACATGTTTTTTATATTGCTTTTAATTATATTTTATAGTAAGCTCTAATTGTTCACAGGTTGGTATTCAGCATATGGGATGTCCTGGTTGTTGGGTTTTCTTCTCTTTCTTGATGCTTTTCTTCTTTTTTACTGCTCGTTTGCATATTCTTTAGCAGAATTTTAGAGGCACTTGAAAGGTTAGTTGAAACATGCTCAATTTTATTCTCCATTTTAAAAATAAAATGTGGGACAGGAATTTGAAACTCTGAAAAAATTGTTTGAATTTTAAATTGTTTGAGTATCTTTATTAATCCTCTACCTTTAGTTTTCCTAGACTCACTTATTCAGAGTTAATTGAACATCTCACACACCTACCAGGCAAAATACACACTATCCTTTAAAGCTTCTTGCCTTATTATGACAGCAAGGCAGAGCTTGTATTTGGTAGCAAACAGTTTTAGGCAAATTGTAGGATTCGATAAGAAAACATCTGTGCTGTGTTTTTTCATGCAACAGTTTGTTTGGCTCTCTTTAGATATGTGACCTGACAATTGCCCTCTGAAAGGAAATGTTGATATTGGGAAATATGACTCATATATTTTGTTATTAAGTATGATGTTTATTTAGCATATAATTTATTTCATGACTTCTCTGTGTAGATATATTCTAGATCCTGGGTATGGTTGAGAGGGAATTAGAGATGAATCACACCTTGTGCCTTTAAATTTATGTTTTTAAAATATAATGGGGGGAGACAGGAGTGAAATGGATAAGTAAAATATAATGTGTTAAATGTTATAATTTCACTGTAAGAGAGTGTGTACGAGGCTCTTCACAGAAGAGAGCAGCCGTGTTCGTCTTGGGTAGTCAAAGGCTATCGAGAAGAGGTTGTGCACTGGGCAGTGGAGGGTATGTATACAGTTCACAAGGTGCAGAAACAAGAAAACTGCAGGAATAAAGAACAGCATTTGTGAAGGTGGGTATACCAGGATACATTCCATAAGTAGTATTTATAGTATGTTATCATTTATATAAAAAGGAGAAATAACCTAAAACAAATTTGCCTGTATTTGTATATATGTAAAATATTGGTATTTCTGGAAGCACAAACATTGCTAACATTGGTTACCTTCTGGGTAAGGAACCAGGAACTGGGTAAGGATAGCTAACGAACCAGGGGTAGGAGAGCCTTTTCAGTATATACTCTGTTGAATCTTGAATTTTGGAACATATTAAAAAATCTAAAATGTGGCATGTATAAATTATAAGGAAATAGGTAAGAATAATTAGAGTGAGGTTTTAAAGAACCTCTCAAGTGTTTATCATCTGTGTATGCAGTGAGGAAACACATAAGGTGTATGTCTTAACAAGGTTATTTCTTGACAGCAGTATGGACTATGGATTGTTTAATTTTTGGGAAGGAGGGTTCTCATTTAAAATAATATAAAATAATTTAAAATATATTGGAGTCCTGTTACTATAAATGTGTTTTTTTAAAACCCTTTGACCCTCTTCTGTATCTTTCATCATTATCCTTTTCGTATGCCTACATCTTTTCTGTCCTCAATCTAGTCAATAGCTTTACGGTGGTGTGTTAGTGTCTGCTTTATAACAAAGTGAATCAGTTATACATATACATATGTCCCCATATCTCTTCCCTCTTCGGTCTCCCTCCCTCCCACCCTCCCTATCCCAACCCTCTAGGTGGTCACAAAGCACCGAGCTGATCTCCCTGTGCTATGCAGCTGCTTCCCACTAGCTATCTACCTTACTGTATATATGTCCATGCCTCTCTCTCTCACTTTGTCCCAGCTTACCATTCCCCCTCCGCATATCCTCAAGTTCATTCTCTAGTATGTCTGTGTCTTTATTCCTGTCTTACTGCTTCAGGTTCTTCATGACATTTTTTTTTCTCTTCGATTCCATATATATGTGTAAGCATATGGTATTTGTCTTTCTCTTTCTGACTTATTTCACTCTGCATGACAGACTCTAGGTCCATCCACCTCACTACAAATAACTCAATTTCATTTCTTTTTATGGCTGAGTAATATTCCATTGTATATATGTGCCACATCTTCTTTATCCATTCATCCGATGATGGACACTTAGGTTGTTTCCATCTTCTGGTTATTGTAAATAGAGCTGAAATGAACATTTTGGTACATGACTCTTTTTGAATTATGGTTTTCTCAGGGTATATGCCCAGTAGTGGGATTGCTGGGTCATATGGTAGTTCTATCTGCAGTTTTTTAAGGAACCTCCAAACTGTTCTCTATAGTGGCTGTACCAATTCACATTCCCACCAACAGTGCAAGAGTGTTCCCTTTTCCCACACCCTCTCCAGCATTTACTGTTTCTAGATTTTTGATGATGGACATTCTGACCGGTGTGAGATGATACCTCATTGTAGTTTTGATTTGCATTTCTCTAATGATTAGTGATGCTGAGATCCTTTCATGTGTTTGTTGGCAATCTGTATATCTTCTTTGGAGAAATGTCTATTTAGGTCTTCTGCCCATTTTTGGATTGGGTAGTTTGTTTTTTTGTTACTGAGCTGCATGAGCTGCTTATAAATTTTGGAGATTAATCCTTTGTCAGTTGCTTCATTTGCAAATATTCTCTCCCATTCTGAGGATTGTCTTTTGGTCTTGTTTATGGTTTTCTTTCCTGTGCAAAAGCTTTGAAGTTTCATTAGGTCCCATTTGTTTGTTTTTGTTTTTATTTCCATTTCTCTAGGAAGTGGGTCAAAAAGGATATTGCTGTGATTTATGTCATAGAGTGTTCTGCCTATGTTTTCCTCTAAGACTTTGATAGTTTCTGGCCTTACATTTAGGTCTTAAACCATTTTGAGCTTATTTTTGTGTATGTTGTTAGGGATTGTTCTAATCTCATACTTTTACATGTACCTGTCTAGTTTTCCCAGC